TAATAATAATAATAATAATAATAATAATAATAATAATATATATNTTTTTTTTTTTATATTTTTCCATTTTTAATTCATATTATTAAATACAATATGTACAAGTTTGATTTTATTCAAAATTTACCTTCAATTAATCATTAATTATGCACAAATTTTATTCGTAATTTTAACCCTTAATTAATTAGTAATTTTTGGATATTCATTTATCCACATTTAAGCAATTTAAGCTCTCTCACTTATGATATTATTATTGTTAAAAAATATTCTTGTTACCATTATTACTGTAAATGATATTATCATTCATGTAACACACATCCATGAAATAACACTCAACTATTTTAATTTATTAAAAAAATAAAATAAAAATTAATTAAATCCAGTATTTCATCTTTTCCTTTTCATTTCTTTTCTTTCTAGAAATTTCTACTTTTTTTTTTTTAAATTTTGCTTTTCCAAGACATTCTTTTAATTTTAGGTTATTTGAAAGTAGCATTTAAAGTTTCTTTTCTTTTTTTTTAAAAAAATATGTTTAAAGAAAAACTTTGGAAGAAAGATCAATAATTGGTGTTGTAATTCCGAAAGGCTAGAAAAGAGAACAGTATCCTGATAAGCTTCCGTAAAAAAAAAAAAGAGGAAGTTTAAAAGGGAAAGGCACAGCAATTACTTTTTTCACTTTTATCACTTCGACAAATTGTCGCCTACTCTTATATATACTTTAAATGTCTATTAGTACTCATCTATTATTGCCTTTCCAGCTATTTGCCAGCAATTTGTTACATTTCCGATATATAATATATCGGAAATGAATATAGGAAATATATATATATATATATGTATGGAACAATCATGCAAAAATACATATATATATTTTATAAATATTATATATATATTTTAAAAGATTATAAGTAATTTTGATAATATATGTTTATCATTATAATTTCTAAGCATTGTTGATTAAAAAACAATTTTGATTACGTTAAGCATTTGGTGTAAATTAATTCAATTATAAGTTAATCCTATGCAAATTAAACTTTTACTTAAGATGAAAATGGTATGAAAAACGATGAAATAAGCAAAAATTTTGAATATATATCTAGAATTTAAAAAAAAATATATATGTCTAGAATTTATATATTTAGTTGATATATCTGGAAATTAAAAAAAAAAAAAGGAATAATAAATAAAATAAAATAAAAAAATATATTGTAAAAAAGCGAGTTAAAAGAATGAAGGAGGTGGGAAAAAAATTAAAATATATTTAGAGAGAGAGAAAGAAAGGAATGAAATTATTTTAAAAGAAGAAGGGACGTAGAATTGGTGATCTTAGCTTTGTTTGCACATTTTACTAAGTGAACTGACGAAGTATTTTCATGATTGATTGTTAGGAAAGAAATTAGATTTTGTTTTTTTTTTTCAAGCAAAAAAAAAAAATAAAAGTAAAATAATTCAATAAATTGAAGTTTTTTAAAAAAAAACTTTTTTTAATTTGTCTTTACATATTAAATTTAGATTAATCATATTTTTATGCTATTTGGATGTAATGAAGAATCTCTTTGCAAGTGGAATATTTTTCAATTTCAAAATAACAAATTACTTTAATTAAGCCAAAAAAATTAAGCTAGAACTAAGCTAGCAGAATAAGCAAGAAATAAGCTAGGAAAAAAAAATTAAACTGGAACTAAGCTAGTAAATTAAGCTAGAAATAAGCCACGAAAAAAAAATTAAACTAGAACTAAGTTAATAAATTAAAAATCAAGTTAGAACTGAGCTAAGAAAAAAATTAAGCTAGAACTAGGTATAAAAATTATGCAATTGGAAAAATTAGGCTAACACTTCAATTAAGCTGAAACTAACATTTAGTTAGATGAATTTGGCTATTTCGTTTACTTTTCGTATTATTAACTAAATTAGTTTTGTGAAATCATTTTGAGAAAACTTTTAAATTTATTCGATTAGATTTTGCATAAAGTGTAATTAACGCTAATTGCTAAAATTAGCGACAAAAACATTTTGAAATGAAAAATATAATTGATAGATAATTTTTGCTAAATTATACATTTCCTATTTTTCTAAAAAAAAAAAAAAAAAAGAAAAATTAAACTCTTTTGAATCCAGCATACATTTTTTTGCTGATTTGTTTTTTTAATTTTTTACTAATACAAATTGAAATATCAAATTTGAATTGATCATATTTCGATTAAGCTCATCTAATAGGTAATGAAGAATGACAAATTCTTTCTATACTATGTTCGTTTCTCTTCCCAATTATTAATTATCACTTCAACTGATAGGTAATTTTTAGTAACGACAAATAGCAACTTTTTCTTATTTCATAAAAGTAATAAAAAATGGTGGACTAAAAGAAAAATTTTAAGAAAAAAAAATTTTAAAGTTTCGAAATTAAAATTAGGATGGACAATTTTGATTTAAAAATAAACAATTTGATAAGTATAAATTGGTTAAGTTAAA